CTGCAATTACAACTGATTTCTGACCTACAGAGATCAGTTCCCCTGGAGAAACTGGCTGCTTCGGAGAGTAAACTGGGTGGTATGATATATCCCACTGAGGTCCTTCCTCACCCCAAACCCTGCCCTCCCCAGGGTCCATCCCCCAAATCTCCAGGAATTTTTCACCAAGAATTGGTAACCCTAGTGTGCATGCAGGCCAAGGCCCCATGGTATGTACAACCTGGTCTTTCATGCACTACAGCTGTGGAGGTCCACTTTGAAAAACTGATAGAGCTTTGTAGGACCGTTACATCTTTCAAGCATCCAGAAACAATTAAAACACTCTTGGCTTAAAAGCCAATCAACAGTGAATTGGCTGTTGCAGGTTAAGCCAATGTGGTGTAGTGGTTGGAGTGTCTGACTAGGATGCAAGAGTCCCAGCTTCAAGTCTGACATTATAAAGCTTGCTGAGTGTCCTTAGGCCCGCCAGACATTCTCTCAGCCTGCCTTGCAGAGTTATTGTGAAGATAAAAAGGAGGAGTACACTACTCTGAGCTCCTTGTAAGAAAGCCAGGGTAGAGTGCCCGTAACAGTAATAAAAATAAAGATGCACATTCAAGGTTGGAGTACCATTAAGTCAGGGACTAACTTTGTTGCCTGCCACAAATGGTCCAAGTCATGATAGGAATGAGGTGTCTGTCAGCACGTAAGGTTGCCAACTCTGGGGAATTTCCCTGGAGATTTGGGGGCAGAGCAGGCCCGTAGCCACAGTGGGGCATTTGGGGGCAGCCCCACCACCCACCAGCCCTGCCCCACCATCTGATGATGCTAGACACCCCCACCCCCAGCGCACCTAGCCCCGCAGTGGGGCAAGGCTGGGGAAAGAAAGGGAAGCTGCCCTGCAGCTTTTGGTCAGTTTCATCCCTGCCAATCAGTTGTTAAACCTAATAGCTGTTTCTCCAGAATGAAACTTAGCAGAAGGGGCAGGTAGCTGTTATGTCTTAACCTAATAAAGACATGAGTGAGCTTATACACAGTTCTATATTAAAAGAGCATCGCAAGGATTGAACTAAAGGGCCAATCAGAGAAGTCTTGGCTTTAATGGGAACCACTCTTATTGGTTCCAAGCTCCGTGTTCCTATTGGTTGTTATCTATTTGTTGGGTGTGGTTTGGCCCGCTCAAATCGTATATAAGTCAGCCTTGTTCTATGTAGTTTTGTCTAGTGTTGTTATGTGCTGAATAAAATGAAATCACTTTGTTTAAGAGCTGCCTCGATTTCAGTTCATAATACTGACGACGAGGATGCAGTGGGTAGGCAGCCCCACAGAACCATAAGAGCAATCACTTACTGGGCAAGGAATTGTCACCTTGGACCTGAGAGCGAGTCACGACGGACGCCTTGGTCCCAAGTGATGCCAGTGAGCCAGCGCCGCTGCCACCATTGCTGCCGCTGCTGCAGCAGAACGAGTCTACCATGGCCACCATGGGCCAGTTTGAGCCATTCAACGCAAGCACCGAGGACTCGGACACCTTTATCTCCTGGTTCGAATTCTACGCTACCGCATCTAAAGTTACCGATCCTGAGGTAAAAAAGGCAACGTTCCTGAGTGTTTGCGGGAAGGACATATTTGATGTGGCCCGGACACTAGTAGCGCCTGCTGAACAACAACCACGTTACCTGAAATCACGAAGAAACTGTGTGACCACTTCACGCCACAACCCTCTGAAATTGCTTGCAGGCACGCCTTCTACACGTGCGACCAGGCCAAGGGTGAGTCCATTGCTGAGTACGTAGCAGCGTTCCGGAAGACAGCTAGGCAATGCAACTTTACTGACTTAAGTGACCAACTTCGAGACAGGCTAGTTTGTGGCCTACAAAACGAGAAGCTACAGAGGCGGCTGTTCACCAAGAAAGAACTCACGTTCCAGGTAGCTTATGAAGAAGCAGCAGCAGCCGAAGCTGCAGATCAGTCTACCCGTGAGGTACAGCAATCCAGAACACCTCCAGAGTCCCACAAACTACAGCTGGTCCACCAGGATAGCATGGAAGACAGTGACAGCGAGGATGACGGTGTCCATCAAACAAGATCAGATAGCTGCAGAAGCTACCGCCAGCAGCCGGCCCCCAAATTGAACTGTGCCAGTTGTGGGGACAGTCACGAGCGTCGTAGTTGCCATTTCCGAGAGGCCCAGTGCCATGAATGCGGTAAAACGGGACACCTCGCCAGAGTGTGCCGCTCATCAAAGAAGTAACCATGCGCTTCTCTGAACAGGCTCCATCCTCCATCTAAGTACACACCCAGAAAGGCGGAGTGTCACACTACCTACCAGAGTCTGTATCACTCGTCCGTGGCACGGACTCAAGTGAAGACCAAGGGAAAGATAAGAGTAAAACGGGACACCTCGCCAGAGTGTGCTGCTCATCAAAGAAGTCACCATGCGCTTCTCTGAACAGGCTCCATCCTCCGTCTAAGTACACACCCAGAAAGGCGGAGTGTCACACTACCTACCAGAGTCTGTATCGCTCGTCCGTGGCATGGACTCAAGTGAAGACCAAGGGAAAGCTAAGAGAGACAGCTGTATTTTTTAAAAATAATATATTTATTAGGTTTTCAAGATAATATATAGTTATAACATAGCTTGTAAACAAGACCATCATCAGAAATACATATATAGACTGGAAACATTTTTTACAGCAACCTAGCCAAGCAAAAAAAAATTATATATTCCTTAAATTCCGCCCAGTTACCTATTACTAACTGAGTACAAACAACTAATGCTGGCACATTATTACATTTTCATTTGTTGATCTTTAGTTTTTACTCATATTACTTATACAGTTTTTCATATCTATTCAAGCAATTAATTTAGCACACTGCCATATATAATTATCTAAAGTCAACAATTATTCAAGGCAGCTATTGAATACATTACAAGCACCGCCCCCTAGAGTTGGGTTCAACTAGCTTTCGAGCAAGAGAAACCTTTACCTTTAGCTTTAACTTTGGATAGCCCAGGCCAGCCCAACCTCCTTGGATCTTGGTTGCTAAGCAGGGTCAGACCTAGTTAGTACTTGGATGGGAGACACCCCAGGAAATTCTAGGGTCACTGGGCAGAACCAGGCAATGGCAAATCCCCTCTGTCTCTTCCAGGGCTTTTTTTGTAGAATAAATCCAACAGGAACTCATTAGCATAATAGGCCACACCCAGCAGCAGAAACTTATTAGCATATTAGGCCACACCCTCTGACTGCACCACTCATTAGCATATTAGGGCGCATTCCCATGTTACCAAAAGTGTGGTCATCCAGCCACACCCACCTTTTGCTTCTTATTCTGTTTACCTTGTTTGTTGTCAAAACCCAGGGCTTTTTGTTGTTGCAGGAACTCCTTTGCATATTAGGCCACACACCACTAGCCAATTCTAATGTGTTTCTGCTGTTGGGTGTGGCCTGTTATGCTAATGAGCTCCTGCTGGGCGTGGCCAACTTGGGAGCCTGCCGGAACTCCGTTCCTGTGCGTTCCTGCCCAAAAATAGCCCTGGTTTCCCTCGAAACCCCTACACAATTGCCATAACGTCTACTGTGACTTGATAGCACTTCACACCCACCACCACCAATGCTCCCTCTAAGCTGTGGAGTCTTGTGAGCAAAAATTCTACTTTGTGAGCTACTGGCATTAAAGCTGTGAGCCAGCCATTTGGCTACTGCATAAATTAGTTTGCTCTGGAGCCATCCTTTCTGAGCAAAGACAAAAATGTGTGAGCCGGAGGCTAAAAAACTGTGAGCCAGCTCACACTAACTCAGCTTAGAGGGAACACTGACCACCACTGTACATAGGAGTGGACTTCCTGCAGTGCAATCCTAAACACATTTACTCAGAAATCAGTTCCACCGAACTCTGTGGGGATTACCCACTCCTGTGTGTTTAGAATTGCAAATTTAGGCCCTCTGGATTGAATTTGCGACTGAACCTGAAGAAATTTGTTTTTGTGAATAACTGTAGTAAAAATAACAATTAAAAACTCTTATGCATACAGTGATGTTGAATGGCTTTTGTTGTTGTTGGTGATTTAGGCTGGCCCCTTTATTTTCCTCTCTAAGACAGGCAGAAAGCCAACCAGTTGTAGCCTCTGTGTCTTGCCCTACACACCCTTTGAACTTTTGCCCATCCTTCAGCAGTTTGAAGGCCCAGCCCTGACAGGAAATAAGAGGGCCATAATTTTGGGTCCTCCCATCACACTGTAGTCCTTCTTATATTTTCTTGTGTCATATGAGGTTTTTATTATTTTTTTCTTTTAAATTGGACATTATTTGTAATACAGGATTTTTAGAAAGCGTTAAGGAGTGTGGTATCTTGGGTACGTTATGCTTTTGAGTTGTTCTGTTATGAAATATAATGAAATCTCAAGCTATATGACACCTGGTCTCAAAAAAGGCGGGAAGGTGACAGAGGGAGATGATCCCCCCTCCTCCCCCCGCTACACACACGCTTCTGGACCAGGCTCGTAGCACAAAGATGGCGGACTTTCCTCGGAGCGACTCGGTCGCGAAAACGTCCGAGAAGGGCTCTGTCAGACGAAGACTACCGAGCGGCGGAAGTTGCCGAACGTTAAGGAGCCGAGCCGAAAGCGCTAATTGTACTGGGTTCGACGTTTTTTAAAAAAAAGGTTTCCTCGAACTTTGCCGAGTATTTCCGAGAGCTGAGGGAAAACCGAAGGCGGTGCCGGGTTTTCCCGAAATTCGACACCTAGGTTTACAGCCAAAAGGAAAGGAGGGGAAAGGAGGAGGGGAAGCCGAAGACCGAAAGCCGGACAAACGCCACACCTGGAACCAGGGCGGCTGGGCGGCGGCAAGCCATCGAGCTCGTCCGAGTATTCCCGAGCGCGGTGGGAGGAGACTCCGAAGCCGAGCCGACTCTTTCCGAAGCCCCTCGGGCTGGAGTTAAAGCGAGGCCAGTCCCAACCTTGCGATCCCAAAGCACCGTCCGGGAGCGAGCGCGAGGCCGGATGTGAGTGGAGCGGCCACTTCCTGTTTCCGTACTCCTCGCGCTTTGGGTGGTGGCCGTTGCCTCGTCGGGGATAACCGTTTGTTTTCTCCCCCCTCCCTCAGGTTTTGAAAAAAAAGAAAAAAGCAGCAGCGGAGGCGGCCGGGACACCCCCTTCCCCACCTTTCTCTCCTTTCTCGTCAGGGAATTTCGCGGAGGCTCCTCGGCCCACCCAGGAAAGCAACAGGAGGAGGCCCCGAGGACCGGCACGAAGCAGCAGCGGCCGCCGCCCCGATGCAGGCCATCAAGTGTGTGGTGGTGGGAGACGGGTAAGGCAGGCCTGCGACGCCCCCCCGTCCCATGCCTCCCCCAGCGCCGGGAGCGAGGCTTCCCCCTCCCCGTAATTGGGGTTAGTAAATAGAGCTTGGTTAAGTTTCTTAAGGGAGGCTGGTGCCTGGCCTACCTCGCAAGGCTGTCGTGGAGGGAAGCCCGCTAAATTTCTTTGGGGGGGAGGGGGGTGGTTAAAGGAAGGAGCGTGGGTAAACTAAAATTTAAAAACCCAGTCCTTTGGTCGGCTGATTGTCTGGCCGTTACCTTATGCTACGCCAGGGTTTTTCTAAGGCGTTTTGCTCTTTATTTAGAAGATTTATATAATCTTTCTTCCCCCCCCCCGCCTTTCTCTTGACAGCTAATAAGGTGGGTAGCAACAGTAACTGCAGTCCAAAAACGGTAATCTGTTCCTGCAGTTAAGAATACAGCATTATATCAGATAGGATAGATACCAGGTGTGTACCCTTCATGGTATACCATAAGTTACTTTAGATAGCGCTTCATTTTTGGCGCAACGGACTAACTGTACAGGCTTACTCCAGTGTAAATTAGTAGATTGTGGGTGAATTTCTTCATTTTTGCTGCAGTGGATGAGCTCTGCAGACCTACTCCAGTGTAAATCACTGGATTTTTAAAAATCGACTTAGATCACTGCAAGTCTGTGTAGGATTGCCTTGCAACCTGGTTACTGTCTCTGGAATTGCACTATGGAAGTATAAAGTAGATTACTCTCTTATCTTGAATTCCTTGGAGGTAAAGCAATAGCAATGCAGCTGAGGGAGGTGGACTAAAGTTTTTTTTTTAAGTTGTGAATATCTATGTTTAGTAGGCAATGCAAAATGGTTTTGTGTAATGGTTTTTTGCATGGTGCAGTTTGGTGTAGTGGTTAAGTGCACAGACTCTAATCTGCGAGAGCTGGGTTTGATTCCCCACTCCTCCACTCGCAGCTGCTAGATGAGCTTGGGCAAGCCATAGTTCTGTCAGAGCTGTTCTTGAAAGAGCAGTCATCGAAAGAGCTCTCTGAGCCCCACCTACTTCACAGAGTGTCTGTTGTGGGGAAGGGAAAGGAGTTTGTAAGCCACTCTGAGACTCTTGAGTGAAGGGTGGGGTATAAATCCAATCTCCTCCTCCTCTTCGTCCGGTGTTTTAAAGTGACTGGAAGCCCTTTGGGGATAGGCTTATTAGTTTTTAGGAGGTTGGTGTTTGGAAGGTGTGTTATTTCTGTTCTGTAAACCTACTTGGGTTTGTTTTGAGTAAAGAAAAGCAATGTAGAAATATGCATTTTTATAAACAAATATTACGTAGATAGTAGGTCCATACCCTCTCAATTAAAACCCTCCCCTCAGGTAAACAGGTAGTATTTCTCCTCACCCTCCCACACAAGCAGTTAGATCACTGATTCTGTTCTGTTTCAGTTTGGTCTCCCCAGTTTGCTTACTCTGTGCATTTATATTTGTTTAATATTCCTGTGACCTTCTGTTTGTTTTTATTTTATTTACAAAATTTATATCCCTCTTTTCTGCCTTTACAATGGCTGCCAAGGTGGCCAACAATTTAAAACATACAAGATAAATTATTCTGAGATTATTGAACAGCATCAAACTGTTATAAAGTGTTAAATAGTTCAGTTATGGAAGCCCCATTTTGTGGAAGGTTAATTTATAATTAAGTTAGGCTTTACTGTGTGGGAGTTTACTCCCAAATGGATGCATGTTTGGTTGTATCCCAAATCTCTAAGACCTGCCACTGTTCCAGTGTTGGTTTTTATTTTCTTCCCCCTGCCCAAGTTCTGAATTGATCCCAATATTTGGTTCCTTTCTTCGACACAGAGTGCCTGATAATTCCTGAAAAGCTGTCTTATACACACCCTGCCTATATATTGCTGAGAAGAACATAGGATACTTCTTAATGTTGGGACCATTGTTGTTACAAGGGCAATCCCAGCCCTCAAGGTTCACCTAGCAAGTGGTCTTGTTGGGGGTAGCCTCCAGCTATTTAGTATAATGCTCCGGGTTTCTGTCTCTTGGTTCACTCACACCAAAGGTAAGGACATGGGTAGGGATGGGCAACACATAAATTTCCAGTGGTGGTGAAGATGCGGAAACAAACCTGGTGTGTTCGCTGCTGGCCAAGTCAGCCCAAGACCTGGCAGTTTATAGTCTGGAGAGACTGGGCAATCAGCCATTCTTGCCCAGCTTATCAAGGGTTGAACTAATTCATATAGATTCTGATAACGTACAGAGTAGATAGAGCCATTTAATCAGATGGGATGGTACTTTCAAAATGAGGCAATTAGCATAGGGGCTTCATGTTTGTTGTTGACAACAGGAGACTCTTGTGGCTTTGGCAGAGAATCTGTGCTCCATTTTGCGGTTAACAAAGGAAAGTCACTTCCTGAAGCTGGGGAGAAGTTGTTCAAGGCTGCAGTACTAAGCATATATTAGGAACAAAGTCCCACTGGACTTCGTGTGATTTGCAGTCCAATCCTAAATACCTTTACTAGGAAGTAGGTGTTGCCTTCTTGGGCCCCTTGGGGTGAGTTCAGTCAGCAATCTAAATAAATGGGTCATAGTAAAATTTTTATTCCAGACTCCTTGGAATTGTGCATGTTTTGGCAGTGGATAACTGTCTTCTCAGTTAATATAGCTGGATACAGTCTGTTTGTATGCAGTTGGGACTTGAAAGTTATCAGGTAGTTCTGTTTGTTTCTGAAGGCTCCTTAGAGGCTTTTCTTGGCTTCTTATATCTTCAGGAATATAGTGACATTTAAGAGCTGAAAGGACCACTTAATGCCTGGAAGTGGGAACTTCCCCCTTTTGTATAGGATAACAATTCCCATGCTTAAACATTGCCATCCTATCGTGTAGCCATTTGGTAACAGTGCCTAGACATTTGAAACTTTTTAGCTCTGTGTGTGGCTTACATGTAAGTTTGATTCTAGCTGCCAAGTATTTGAAATATTTCCCCCCAGCCCTAATTTCGTTGACTCCTGCTGAATGGTTTGGGACAAGGGGAGACTAGCAGAGCTTCTCTGAGAGGAAGAACTTGTAATCCCCACAGAATGTAGCCCCTTCTGCTGTTAAGCTTTCCAAGCATGTTCTGCCAGTTGCCTTGGTTACCCATGTGCAAGGGCTTTGGAGGGATCTGGTACTAAAGAGAGTATATATATTTCTGATTATTTGCTGAACAGTGTCCCATTGGTGGGGAAAATTTGGGATGGCTGCTCTTATTTAATACTGCAAACCAAAACGACTGTGAAGGCTTGTATCATGTTACAAGACCTCAGTGGGGCTGTGGTGTGTTGCATCTCCAGTGCTCTGTGAGTCAGGAGTGTATGCATTGTTTTTGCTCTCAGTGCTACAGTGAGTCAGAGAGCAGCACTTTGTTTTCCTCAGTGGCACCTATTCCCTTATGTGGCAGAAGGTAGAAGGGCGCTTTGGAAAACCACTCTGGAATGAAGGGATAAGCCTTCTGGTTTAAATCTAGCTTGTTCTTATCTGTGTGGTCCCATGTGGACTCCCCCCCCCCCCCCCCAAATTGGTCACTATGAAGTGTGACAAAACTTTAGGAATAGGCAATTATATTGATATGTGCCAGATTGCCTTACATGATGGTGATGTTTTTGTAGTGTAATATAGTCATTCTGTAAGTAAGTCTGATTGTGTTCCATTGTGTATATTTCCCCATCTTCTGGCTTCAATTATCTCAAAAATGTGTGTGTTGCATTTACTCTCCAACTTTTTTTCCCTGTGCTCAATGAACAAGCTTTGATGGGCCATTGTCATTATCTGAGCATCACTTTTTTTCTATCTGCTACATGTCACAGATCAGGGAGCATTGCAGGCCATCTGTAAAACAAGTCTGATTTTATGCAGCTAGATTTTTTTAAAGGAGAAACAAATATCCCTGTGTTGTCTAACTGAGCACCAGAACAAATGTGTGTAGTTTCTCTGAGAACTACAAAAATAGCTCCAGAATCCGTCTCGGCCGTCTCTGGTGCGTGGTTGAGGCATCACGTTACTGAGACTTGTTTATAAGTTCTCTGGAGGTTTGATTTAGACCAAAACTGTTCAAATTAATTTTGAGCAGGGTCAAATTACATAATGAACAAACATGTTTAATAGTACAAGTCATATGATAGGCACATTTCAAGTAACTCCAAGATAATTGACGAAAATATAAGTTGTAAAATAATCAGTGTATGTGTACAGTAGTATTTTATGATGTTAGGAATGTTAATGATGATTCTCACATTTTTATCCCATCTTTCCTCCAAGGAGCTCAGGATGATACACATCTTCCCTGCCCCCACCATATGATCCTGTGAGGTAGGCTAGGATGAGGGAGAGAGACAGACAGAGTAGCCCAAGGTCATCCTAGTGAGAATTATGGCTGAGGGAGTTGAACCGAGAACTCCTTGGTCCTAATATGACCTTCTAACTGTTAGACAATCCCAAAACCATTTTAAGTGGGTATGTTTTATAGCAAGGATGATATGACTTAAATCCAGTTATTTTTACAGTTAGTAATTGTGTTGCTAAAAGGGTGTATTATTCAGAGCTGGTAGGGTTAAAACAATGCCTTGCCTTACCTAATGACTCCCAGGCTTTCAGTAGGTCTTTTACATTTTTAATAAGAGAAAGTTGCTAGCAATTTCTCTAGAGAAATTTCCCTTCCTATACTTGGAATGAGTAGTTATGAATGCTGTTTTTCCCCTTTAGTTGAGTAACTGTACAGAGGGCTTTCTGATTTGTAAGGCACAGAGCCAACAGGCTGAGAAGGCAGGAAGCCTGGGGTGGGGGAATTCTGTAGTGGAGGCATCTGGGGCTTGTTTATTCTTGTTGGCATTTCCTTGTTAGTGTTAGTGGACCTGCCTGACTTGTGCAATGTGGGCACTGGGGAGGCACCTCTCTTTCTCCTTTTGTGCTTGACTTGCTATCTTCTGGGATTTCTTTCCCAGACTGCTTTTGGGTGGCCTCTGCAGACTTGGGGCTGGGGA